TGCTATGAGTGAAACCATCCGGTATTTTTCTTTCTCTTTCTGGCTTATCTCACTAAGCATGATCTTTTCCAGCTCCATCCAAGTAAGAAGCACCATTATTTTAAAAATATAAGTCAAATTCTGGGAGAAAATAATTTGCAATAGACGCCTTTCTTTTACCATTTTGTCTCACAAGACTCTTGGTATCACGCAATGCCTGGCCAAGAAACAAAAATAGAATCATTCTACTCCACTAATGGATTCAGATGAAAACTGGTAATAAAATCAATTCACAAAGAGACCAAGTCAAGCCTGTAAGGAATCACACATAAGGTGGCACGCGTGTTTATGCTGCATTAAAGTCAGTAGCATCTACCAGATCACACTGAAAACATCGTGCTTTGGGAACATGTTTTCTCTTGATGCATCTACTTTACCTGGATCAGAAATAACTATATGCGCTCTTGGGGGGGAAATGTTTGCAATATACATATTTGATAAAAGATTGGCATTCAATATATATAAAGAACTCTTAACATTTGCTAAGACAAATAACATGATTTTTTTGAATTAGCAAAAGACTAGGATACTTTACAAAAGAAGATATGGTAATGTCCAGTGAACACCTGAAACATGGTCAATGTCATAAATCACAGAGAAATGCAAGTAAAAGCCACAATGAAGCAATTATTTTATATTCGTTAGAAAGGCTACTCTAAAAAAAAATGACAATGTCAAATGTTCACCATGTTGTGGAATGTCTAGATCTACACCATACACTGATTTTAGAAATATAAAATGGAATAATTTTGGAAAACAGTGTGGCAGTTTCCTATAAAGTTAATATTCACTTATCATATGAGCCAGCAACTCCACTCCTAGGTGTTCACCCAAATGAAATGAAAGCATATATCCACGAGAAGACATATAGGAATGTTCACAGGACCTTTATTAACAACAAATGAAAACTAAACAACCCAAAGATCCAGTAAAAGAAGAGATAAATATGTGTTTCTTAAAAAAATAGGTATATGGCCCTCCCTGGTGGCGCAGTGGGTTAAAGCACAGCACTAAGAATCTAAAGCCACTTCCGCATGAGTTCGATTCCTGCCTTCCCCGGAGGTGACCACATGGCGCAGGAGACCTCTCCTGACCCACCCGCTGCTCCCCTCAGCAGTGTACTTCGTCGATCTGCCTGTTCTGCTCCCCACTCTGTCCCTGGTGAATTCTCTCACCCTCCGCATCTCTGGCCTGTACCCCAGTTCTGTACGAATAAATAAATAAATCTTCTTTTAAAAAAATAGGTATATTTTGTCTTTTAGAACCTGAAATGTGGCCTCCCTGGAGTCCCAAGGGGTTAAGACCCAACACTATGAAGCTATCCGCTGCTACTGTGCCCAGGGAGCTGACTCACAGGGCACAGCAGACCTGTCCTGTCTCACCCGCTGCTCCCCATCAGCAGTGTATTTCAGTAGCTCTGCCAGTTCTGCTCCCCACTCCGTCTCTGGTGGATCCTCTCACCGCACCACTACCATCTCTGGCCGGCAGCCCAGCTCTTGCATGTATAAATATATCTGAAATAAAGCAGAACCTGCAGTGTTTGCTTAGCCTGTAAGTTCCTAAAGAGCCCGGCCCCTGACGGTCTTGTTCACTACTGCAAACTTGCTTCTGACACCGAGCAAATACGCAGTAAATGCTGAATGAATGAATGAAAGAACGGAAACTTGCCCACATCGATGGATGTGTGGCCACCATTCCTGAGGCCTTGTACTCCCTCATTCCTTCGCTGACTAGGCCAGGACCAATTAGACTCGCGGTCAGCAAGGAAAGGGGACACTAGCAGGTCCCCGCCGAGGAGGGTGTCCCGCCCGGGACGGGGCAGAGCCCCAGCAGAAGATCGTGCGCTGGGTCTAGCGCCCACAGGGCAGAGTGGAACCGAGGGACAGACCCGCTGGAAGCTCCTACCAGCCTAGCGCAGAGCCCTCCCTTGTCCGTAAGCCAAGGGGTTGCGTGCCGGACGGCTGGGCGGGCCGAGGGCGGCGGGGGCGGGACAGGGAGGACGAGAATCCGGTGGAGATGAGGCTGGGGGCCGTCCCGCCCCCAAGGGCAGGCCCTGATTGCCCCGCCCCGGCTGGGGTGTGGGCTCCTACTCCCGGTCTGCTCGGGTCCATCTGCTTGCGAGCCCGCAGCGGCGCCGGCTCCAGCTGCCCGGGTGAGGAGATAGGGAAGGGGGCCAACGCGGGCCCAGAAAATTGGGCGGGGACCGGAATGCGCCCGGGCTGCTGAGCCTCCTGACTCAGCTGCACGCTCAGATTTCGGGTTCCTCTCGCGGGTCGGACGCGCGTAACTTCCTCACCCCCGCCTGGACCCTCTCTCCCCACCGATCTGGCTTGACCCCCGGCTCCTCCAGGCCACTTGCGACACCCCTGGGCCCCCTCCCCGCCATCTGTTCTGCCCCAGTTCGGGGTCATCCGGGCCTGGCTGGGTGTTCCTCGGCGCTCTGGTTACGGGACGGGAGGCGGGGCTGAGGGATTCTGGATGAAGGACCAAAGCTGGAGATGGAGGTTAGAGGCGGGGTGGCGGTGGAGTGGGGTGGAAGGCTATCTGATTGGTGGGGTTTGCAAATGGGTGGTAATCAGAGAGGGGTTGGGAGTCATGGCGAGTGAGGTGGGTGGGGAAGAGAGGGACCTATGGGAGGTGGAGGATCGCGGGGGTGGAGTAAGGGAAGAAAAATTTGCAAGGTAGATCGCCTCCCTGAGAGCTCCCCATATTCCTAGGATGATGGCAACCCATGAGAGCCTCTTCCCCTCCGGAGATGACCTGGATTCCAGTCAGTTACAGATGGAGCCGGATGAGGTGGACACTCTGAGGGAGGGAGAGGATCCAGGTACACAGGGAGGACAGTCCTCAGGGGGAGGAAGATGAGCTGTCTGAGACCTGGAGAGATTAACCTCTTCTACTTTCTCTTCCCAGCTGACCGGATGCACCCCTTCCTGGCTATCTATAGCCTTCAGCCTCTAAAAATGCACCCCTTGGTGTTTGCCCCTGGGGTCCCTGTCACAGCCCAGGTGGTGGGCACTGAAAGATATACCAGTGGATCCAAGGTGGTTAGGCTGGCATACCACCAGGGAGGGAGAGCTGGCCAGGGAGGGGAGAGAGGGGGGAGCCCAGAGACACCCCTTCCGTTCCTCACACCCCCAGGTGGGAACCTGCACGCTGTATTCTGTCCGCTTGACTCATGGTGACTTTACCTGGACAACCAAGAAGAAGTTCCGTCACTTTCAGGAGTTGCACCGGGACCTTCTAAGACACAAAGTCTTGATGAGTCTGCTCCCATTGGCTCGGTGAGGGAGAGCCACCGCTTCCTGTGAAGGACACATGTCCTCCCCTGGCACTGCATGGGCCCAGCCACCATGGCTGCTTTCTACCTGTCTCTCCCCAGTCACAACCTCTCCTCCCTTGGGCACATTCCTCCCCCGGTTCTGACCACTGGGCCTCCTCCCTTAACCTGGTTACCGGGAAACATTCCCAGCTCAGCTCTCGCCAGTATTTCAAGTAGGCTGGATGCCCAAATGCCCTTGGCAGCCACCCCCTTTTCTTGTCTCCATTCTTGGGGTGGGAGGCCTGCCCTCTACCATCCTCTGGGACTCCCCGTCTCCAAGTTACCATCTCCAGTGCTTCAGGAACCCAGGCATCCAGCCTCCCAGCTCTTACTCCCCTCACCCCATTTCTTCCACAGCTTTGCAGTTGCCTATTCTCCAGACCAAGAGGCAGCCAACAGAGAAATCCCTTCTCTCCCGAGAGCAGGTCCTGAAGGCTCCGCCAGACATGCATCCAGCAAACAGGTGTGACCACACCCCAGATCCCCTGGGAAATCACCTGGTGTGAAAATGACTGGTCCCATCTCTCTGTCTTCCATCCCTATTACAGAAATATCTGGAGAATTACCTCAATCGTCTCCTGACCATGTCTTTCTACCGAAACTATCATGCCATGGTAAGGTCCTGGGGCTGAACGCCTGTTTTGTTTTTGTTTTGATTTGGAGCATAATTAGACCCCCAGGGTATAGAGGACATGAGTCAGTAGAGTCTTTCTCCTCTGAATCTTTGTCTTCTTTTTGCAGACAGAGTTCCTGGAAGTCAGTCAGCTGTCCTTTATCCCAGACCTCGGCTCCAAAGGATTGTGAGTGTCTGACACCCCTTACCTGGGCCCCTGCAAACATCTGGATAGCTTCCTGTCAGAGAATCGGGAAGCAGTACAGGCTGGGATAGACATGTAGATTCTTCATCCAGCATCCCCTCCTGATTTGCCCCACAGGGAGGGGGTGATCCGAAAGCGCTCAGGTGGACACCGTGTTCCTGGCTTAACCTGCTGTGGCAGAGACCAAGTTTGTTATCGCTGGTCCAAGAGGTGAGGCCTGGAGTGGAGCCAGAGTGGGGTAAAGGGTGTAGGGGAAGAAGGAGATCGCCAGGACAGGGAAGACGAGATGGATCCCTTGCACTCTAGATGGCTGGTGGTGAAGGAGTCCTTCCTGCTGTACATGCGCCTTGAGACCGGTGTCATCTCATTTGTTCAGCTTTTCGACCCTGGCTTTGAGGTGCAGGTGGGGAAAAAGAGCACAGAGGCCCGATATGGGGTCCGAATTGACACCTCCCACAGGTAAGTCCCCCAGGAAAAGACAGATACCTTGTGGGTGAAAAGTCGAGGGCCTTTTGGGGAGTTAAGTGAAAGAGGCCATGGAAGAAAAGCAGGCATTTCCATCTCCCTGGATCTGGCAGTGACTTAGACCCAAATGCAGGGGCTATTCTTGGAGCCTAGGTCCAGAAAAAGGGGTGGAGTATAAACCTGGGAGAGAGCTGTTGATGTAAAAATAAAAAGCTCCCCATTCATTCAGTACTTTTCAGTAAAAGAGAGGGTCTGGCACAATCCTAGGTTCCAGGGCTCCAACTGTGCATAAGGCAGATTTTGCCCCAAGCCCCCCTGGCATCGAGGGGGGCGGTGAGAAAGAAGTGGTAGCTAAAGGAGAGCAGTTTCCCAGAGGTTTGGAGGATGAGGTTTGTGTCCCATCTCATTGTTCTTGTCCAGGTCCCTGATTATCAAGTGCAGCAGCTACCGGCAGGCTCGGTGGTGGGGCCAGGAGATCACTGAACTGGCCCAGGGCCCAGGCAGAGACTTCTTACAGCTACATCGATACGACAGCTATGCACCACCCCGGCCTGGGACCTTGGCCCGGTGGTGAGACGCACAGCCCTTCTAAGCTTGACCGTGACACTCTCCACCCCTGTGTGTTCTCTGAGTTCTCGATCTTGCTTTATCCCCTCTGACCGCAGTGAGCTTCCCGCTGGACTCCTCAAGTCTCTCTGACCCCCTGACCTCTTTAACCGCAGTGAGTCCCCTCTGAACTTTCTGACCCCTGACTTCTCTGATTCCTGTGTCCTTGGTAACCCTTCTTATTACACGGATCCTATCCATTCTCTATGATTTCTCAAATCTCTCTGATTTCCTCATTCATTTAATAAACATATTCTAAGCACCTAGTAGTGCCAGGTTCAGTGGCCAGAGTAAGACAGTCCAGTAGGTGATTCAATGACAAAACCATGGGAGCATGCCCTGCTGATGGCAGTGAGTGTGGAGGAGGCTCAGCTGCCCCGAATTGGGGCGGTGTCAGGACTGGCTTCTAGCAGGCAGTAACCCCAAGGTTTGTCTTAGCAAGATAAAGAAAATGGAGAAGGGCAGAAATAGCCTGGTGTGTTTGGGAGCCACAAGGACTGATTGCTGTTGCAGCATGAGGAGGAGCAGACTGGGAGTCTGCAGGGCCTGATCGGTGCCACATTTCTAAGCTGAGGAGGTTGAACTATATCACAGGCAGAGAGGAGTTGTGCACGCAGTAATTTTCTTGGAGAGTTGATGTTCATGTTTAACATAGGAACATCTACTCTGTCTACAGCGCTTAACTGTGTGCCAGGACTTGTGTCAGTGTGTGCATGTGTTCATGTATAGAATACTCACCGACACGGGCACAGGCGTAGCTCCCTTTTACAGATGAGAAAACTGAGGCGAGATATTACGGACTTTGCTCAAGGTTACACACCTTCTCAACAGTGGAAACAGGATCCTAATTCAGGCATTCTGGATCAAGACCCTGCTCTTGACCCCCTTATTATACTGTTAGTTGTTTAAAAGGCAAATGATACAGAAATACATTAAGTAAAAAATTAACAGTTTCCACCTACTGCACAACCCTTTAGCCCCTAGCCCTTCCTTCTCTGTTACACACTTTCCCACTTCTGTCTCCGGAAGTAACCCTGGCAACAGTTTGATAGGTCTCCTCCCAGATCTTTTCCTGAATATTTTCATAGGCTTATGCATAGACGTTAACTTTTTTTTTTTTAAATGTAAATGAGGTCACATATTCTTTGCTGTGACTTGCACTTAAGGCATGCATTAGAGATTGGAGTCTTTGCCTAAGCATTCAGTAGGATGTGTTCCTAGAAATAGACTTACTTTGTGCATTTATGTGCGTTTAATATTTTCATACACACTGCAAAATTGTCTTATTAGATGCTAATATTGACTGTTACTAGTGATTTTAATGTTATTTCATTTTTATATCAATCTCCTTTACTAGTGAGATTGAACATCTTTTCCTACAATTGACCACTTTTATTTCCTCTGCAACTATCTGTTTTTCTTAGTCTTTGCTTATTTTTCATTTGACTTCTATGTCTTTTTCTTATGATTTTGTTGAAGTTCTACATATGCTATACTAATCTTCCCAACCTCTAGTCATTTTCTTTAGTTTATTGTGTGTTTTGTAATTTAAAATTTTATTTAGTTCAAACTGGCAAATTTATTCCACCTTAACGTATCTGATACTGCCTGACTTCTGTGATCACACTTGCTCTTTGACCCTGTTGTCACCTCTGACCCATGGCTGTCCTCCGGTCTTCACTCTCCAGAACTTTCTGGCTCTGACTCCTCTGACCTCCTTGGCTTGGCCTCCCCCCAGGTTTGTGAATGGGGCAGGTTACTTTGCTGCTGTGGCAGATGCCATCCTGCGAGCCCAAGAGGAGATTTTCATCACAGACTGGTGGTGAGCAGGGGCAAAGCTCAGGCAAGAAGGGGCAGGGTAGAGCCTACAGGAGACCAGCTCATGGACCAGAGGAGGGAGGAGTAGGGGAGGAGTAGCTTGTTGTCTGGGGCTTGACTTGCCACTCCCCCCCTGTCCTGAATCCCAGGTTGAGCCCTGAGGTTTACCTGAAACGTCCTGCCCATTCAGATGACTGGAGACTGGACATTATGCTCAAGAAGAAGGCGGTGAGGACAGTGGTCAGACTGGATGGGCACTACAGCAGGGGTTGCCTGTGGGTAAATGTTGGTTAGAAGGAACTTCAGCAAGGGGGAATGTAGGAAACTGAAGACTTCAGGGGAAAAATGTGCCCATCCTGCCTCAGTGCCTGGCAAACATCACCTCCTCTTTCCTAAGGAGAACCCACAGCTCCTTCTTCATGCTCCTCTTTTATCTGGTGTGGTAGATTCCTCTGCAGTCACCAGGTCTAGCACAGGGCACAGTGTCTGTCCCTTGGGGGGGCATTCATAGATGTTGATGGACAGGAGGAGAGGTACACAGATGATGGAGGGTGAGTGGGCGAGTGGGCGAACCGATGAAAAAGCTGTGTGATTGCAAAGGCAGATAAGACAAGGGTGGGAGGCTTGATGCACAACTGGTCGATGGCCGGTAAGGGGGTGAGTAGATGGTGGGCAGATGCATGGGAAGATAATGATAGAGAGGAGGGTAGATGTGTGAACCTAGGAGTGGGTGGGCAGATACATGACATTCAATCTGAGTTTGCTCTCAGCACCAAAACAGGGTGTGAGTGGCAAGACATGAAGGGTCTCCGGGCAGGGTAGAGGGGCACATGGGAATCCTGGAATCTGATTCGCTCACTCAACATCAGGAGGAGGGTGTCCGCGTGTCTGTACTGCTGTTTAAGGAAGTGGAGTTGGCCTTGGGCATCAACAGTGGCTACAGCAAGAGGACTCTGATGCTGCTGCACCCCAACATAAAGGTGTCTCTAAAGCCTCACTTCCCTCCCACACTACAGCCCTCTTTACCAAACTTCCCCAAGCTTTCAACCCTCTTTCACCTTGAATGTCTTTGCCCCTTCATCTTTCCTTTCTCCCTTTCAATGCCTCTGCTCTCTTTACTCACCTAAGCCTACCATCATGAACATCTTTGTACCTGCTCCAGGTGATGCGCCACCCAGACCAGGTAACATTATGGGCCCATCACGAGAAGCTCCTGGTGGTGGATCAAGTGGTGGCCTTCTTAGGGGGGCTGGACCTCGCCTATGGCCGCTGGGATGACCTGCACTATCGACTGACTGATCTTCAGGAGTCCTCTGAATCAGCTGCTCCACAGGTAATCCCCCAAGACCTTCCTTCTCCAAACTCAGTTAATCTAAATTCACACCCCCCTTTTTTTTTTAAAGATTTATTTATTTTTTCATGCACACAAGAACTGGGGTGCAGGCCAGATGTGGTGGGGGTGAGATGATTCACCAGAGAGAGTGGGGAGCAGAACAGGTGGATACACTGAACTATACTGCTGAGGGGAGCAGCAGGAGAGACAGGAGAGGTCTGCCGCACCATATGGGTCAGCTCCCTGGCCAGCCCGGGAACCGAACTCCTACTCCACGAGTGGTGATAGCTTGATAGTGCTGTCTTTAACCCCTGCACCAGCAGGGAGGCCCCACGCCTCCTCCTAAGCCAGTCTTCCCCTCCAGTCATTTTAAACTGTGCCAACATTCTGAGTCCCTCAACCTGCCTGGGAGCCCAAGAACTCACCTTGAAGATACTGTGACTCTGTCCATTTCTGTTAACACTCCACTCCCCCAGATCCTGTAGGGACTTGATCAAGGGCAGCTGAGGGGAAGGCCAGGGAATTAAACCCTCTGTTTCATTCTAACTTTCTGTGTGTGTCTCTGTGTGTCTGTCTCACACTCTTTCAGCATTCCTATCTTCTCTTTGAGCCTGGCTCTGTATGGTCCCCATGACATCTCCTTGTCCCTGGCTTGGGTATGTTCCCCTACAGCCGCCCATCTCGTGCTCAGACTCTCACAGTACCCCAGACCTCTCTAACAACCAACTCTTCTGGCTGGGCAAGGACTACAGTAATCTCATCACTAAGGACTGGGTGCAACTGGACCGACCTTTTGAAGGTGAGGGTCCTCTATCTCCAGATCCCCCAAGAGCTGGGAACAGGGGTCAGTGTTGGGGCTGGGACTGAAAATGGAATGAGCTGCGTCAGGGATAATTATTTTTCCTCTAGTAGGTTCTTCCTCCTCTCTGCCCCACGTGTCCCCAGCAGATCATCCCTGATATCTTCCCTGACGCTTCCGGACCCCTAGATTTCATTGACAGGGAGACCATGCACCGGATGCCGTGGCGGGACATTGGGGTGGTTGTTCATGGCCCAGCAGCCCGGGACCTGGCCAGGCACTTCATCCAGCGCTGGAATTTCACCAAGGTGCTCACTCCCTCTTGTGGGAGCTCAAGGTTGGGAAGGAGCCAAAGGCAGCTTGTCACCTCCCAATGACTCTTCCATCCTTCCACTTCAGACTACCAAAGCTAAGTACAAGATACCCATGTACCCCTACATGCTGCCTAAGTCCACCAACACTGCAAACCAGCTCCCCTTCATGCTCCCTGGGGGGCAATGTGCCACTGTACAGGTGAGCTTTGCGACTTGAGCCTGTTCTTCCAGCCCCACTTCTAGCCCAGTGCCCCAACCTTTTCTCCCTATTCTGAGAACCCCCCTGATGCCTCTCCTGGTGTCGAGAACCATCATTTTCACCATTCCCCAGGTCTTGAGGTCAGTGGACCGCTGGTCAGCAGGCACTTTGGAGAGCTCCATCCTCAATGCCTACCTGCATACCATCAGGGAGAGCCAGCACTTCCTCTACATTGAGGTCTGATGGGGTGGATCTGGGGGCAGAGAATGGAGGGGATGTCCCAGGAGAGACTTAGGATGCCAGTGGGATCAGTCACTGAGGGCTGGTGAAGCTGGGTCTGGAGGAGAGTGGAAGCCTGGGGCCAGGACCTGGAGCTCCTGGTACTGGGTTGGCTGCTAGGAGCTGAGGGCAAGCTTAGGGGCAGGGCTGCTGATGCCTTATCTCCGGTCCCTACCCCAGAATCAGTTCTTCATCAGCTGCTCAGATGGGAGGACGGTTCTGAATAAGGTGGGCGATGAGATTGTGGACAGAATCCTGAAGGCCCACAAGTAAGGTGGTCTGGCAGGAGGGTGGGGAGTTTGGGCGTGGCTTAAGCCCAACTGGAGGGGCTGGAGTTGGGAGACAGGTCACACCTCTGACTGTCCCCGCCTCCCCCCAGACAGGGTCAGTGCTTCCGAGTCTATGTGCTTTTGCCCCTGCTCCCCGGCTTTGAGGGTGACATCTCCACAGGCGGTGGCAATGCCATCCAGGCCATTCTGCACTTCACATACAGGTGACCCCCCAGCCAGATTCTGCTCGGTGGCCCCATCCCACTCATGCACCCTCCTGACTCTGTCCTGCTGGACATCTGAGGTCCACTCTATCCGACTTCTCCCCTATTCCCCCAGCCTCCATCTCTCTGACTTGTTCATTTCCCTCAGGACCCTGTGTCGTGGGGAGTATTCAATCTTACATCGCCTCAAAGCAGCCAGTGAGTACTGGGATTGGGGTTTCAAGCCCTTGTTCCTGAGGAAGGGGAGATCAGGGAGCTGGAGGTCCCCTGGGGGTGGAGGGGAGGAGGCTGTCATTTCTTCATTCCTCTGAGATCTTTCCCCAAGGCCACCCATAGTTTTTCACAGCTGGGAGGGCAGATAAACTGAGCTCTGCAGAGCTGCTGAAGTGAGGAGGTAGGTGCCAAGGAGGGGGGTACCTCACCACGCTCCCTTCCCCATCTTCTGTGTGCAGTGGGGACGGCGTGGCGGGACTACATATCCATCTGTGGTCTTCGCACACACGGAGAACTGGACAGTCACCCAATCTCCGAACTCATCTATATCCACAGCAAGATGCTCATTGCAGATGACCGGACAGTCATCATTGGTCAGTGCTGGGCCTGATCCTCCAACAGCAAGAGGGGGTTGGGAGGTGTGGAATGGCCCAGCCAGGGGCAATGGGATGAGTGGGGACCATAGAGGCCCAACTGGGGGTGGAGGCCAAGGAAGTTGTATTGCCCCCAGGGGCTGGTGCTCTTTTGGGGTGGAGCATCCCCCAGGGCCCAGGCAAATGCAGTATGTTCTGCACCTACTGCAGGCTCCGCAAATATCAATGACCGGAGCTTGCTGGGGAAGCGGGACAGTGAGCTGGCTGTGCTGATCGAGGACACAGAGATGGAGCCATCCCTCATGGACGGTGTGGAGTATCAGGCGGGCAGGTTTGCCTTGAGTTTGCGGAAACATTGCTTCAGGTAATAGCTGGAGTGGGGTGCTATAAGGTGGGGGTGGAAAGAGAGGGGTCTGCTTTTGAGCAGGCATTATGGTTGGTTAGAGTTGTACTAGATTTCCCAGTAGGCAAACTAATCCCATTTATTGTTCACCAGCAGAGTAAACAGTAATTTAGTGTGTGTGTGTGTGTGTGTGTGTGTGTGTGTGTGTGTGTGTACACACATACATTCACTGAGCAGGGGCCTTACTGGTGGGACAAGGGGTTAAGTCTCAGCACTATGAAGCTACCAGCAGCCACTGCAGCATGAGTTCAATCTCTGGCCAGGGAGGTGACCCACATAGTACAGCAGACCTCTCCTGACCAGCCCACTGCTCCCCTCAGCAGTGTATTTCAGAAGCTCTGGCTGTTCTACTCCCCACTGTCTCTAGTGAATCCTCACATCCTCCACACACAAACTTGTGGCCTATACCCCAGCTCTTGTGTGCATAAATCTTTAAATATAGATAGGTAGATACTAAGTACATAAGTAGATTCTATCTATCTATCTATCTACACTGTATATATTTAGTTAATATGGACACTATATATATTTAAAGCATCAGACTAGTTACCAAAATAGAGACAAATTAGAAGTTCTGTTACTCATTAACACTTCTTATACTATTTAACCTGTATCAATTGTGACTGACCTGGGTAGCACATGTAACTTCTTATGTTCAGATCTCTGAGGATCTTTTGTTTTTTTTTTTAAGATTTATTTATTTATTTATTCATACAGAACTGGGGTACAGGCCAGGGATGCAGGGACAGTAAGAGGATTCACCAGAGACAGAGTGGGGAGCAGAACAGGCAGATCGACAAAGTACACTGCTGAGGGGAGCAGCGGGCGAGACAGGAGCCGTCTGCTGTACCATGTGGGTTGGATCTCGTGGGCTGGAGATCGAACTCGCACTGAAGCCACTGTGGCCAGCTTGCAGTGCTGCGTCCTAACCCTCTGCGCCAGCAGTGAGGGCCCTCTCTGAGAATCTTAACCTGGCCCTGCCGGGATCATTTTCTCCCCTAGTGTGATTCTTGGGGCCGATGCCCGGCCAGATCTGGATCTCCGAGACCCTGTCTGTGATGACTTCTTCCAGTTGTGGCAAGACACAGCTGAGAGCAATGCCAATATCTATGAGCAGGTGTGTGCTGAATGGGGCTGGGCTGAGGGGAATTCATAAATATTCTTGTTCAGGGCTCGAGTGGAGAGAAGCCCTATGCAGAGAGGTTCTTCTCAGAGGAGCACATATCAAAGGGTCAGTGTTGGTGGAAAGGATGTGGAGACTGAGAGTGTCTAGCTGAACTGGTTGGACTGAATCTTTTTTTTTTTAAAGACTTATTTATTTATGCATACAGAACTGGGGTACAGGCCAGAGAGCAGGGGCGGTGAGAGGATTCACCATATTCAGAGTAGGAAACAGAACAGGCAGATCGACAAAATACACTGCTGAGGGGAGCAGTGGGCGAGACAGACGTCTGCTGCACCATGTGGATCACCTTCGGGCAGGGATCGAACTTGCACCGAAGTGGCCATGGCCAGCTTCACAGCACTGTGCTTTAACCTGCTGTGCCACCAGGGAAGGCCTGGACTGGGACTCTTGAGAATGCCACCCCAAACCTTATTGGCTTCCATGTCCCCCACTAACAGATCTTCCGCTGCCTGCCATCCAATGCCACACGCTCTCTGCGGACACTCCGGGAGTACGTGGCCGTGGAACCCCTTGCCACAGTCAGCCCTTCCATGGCTCGGGCTGAGCTCACACAGGTCCAGGGCCACCTGGTCCACTTCCCCCTCAAGTTCCTGGAAGACGAGTCTTTGCTGCCCCCATTGGGTAGCAAAGAAGGTGTGATGCCCCTGGAAGTGTGGACATAGCTGCAGTGCCAGTCCAGGAGAGGTCACCAGCCAGTGGCATCCATCAAGTCTGACTCCCTGCCTCCAGCCCTGAAGATTGAGAGCAGTGCCTTTGAGACCTGCAGGAGGCAGGCATCCCTGAAAGGCATGAGAGAAGTTGCAGAGGACTCTTTCTCGAGATATAGCCAAAGATGGCACCCAACTTTGGGCTGGGGAGGCAGGATGGTCCCGAGAAGTTCATTCTCCCAGCTGCTCAGTTCAAGCCACTACTAACAGGAGATGCTTAGTTCCTGCCTGGATGCCTGGGGTCAAGACTCTGATTCCAGGAAGAATGAGTTCTGCCCTGTGCCTTCCCATCCCCCTCCCTCTTCCTGCCTTTGAGCCCTGTTCTGCCCCCAGAACTGGGAGCCTCTCCCAGGCCATTACTATGAAAGTGGAAGGAAGGACTAAGCCACGCCTGGCTTCAGCCCCCACAGTTGGGAGGCTTAGTAGTGGTGGATGCACACTAACTCCCTCCACCAGCCTGCTGACAGACACTAACTTTGTATCCGTTCAAGAAACATTTCATAAATAAATGCATAAAAAGATCCCTGCCTCTTCCACTGAACTGAGTGCTGGTCTCGCACACCCTCCATGCTACACATGACACCAGGCCCCTTGCCTTTTCTCTACACCACACCGTTCTTCTTGCTGCTGTTTCCATCTTGCTTAACTTGTCTGTGGCTTTGGGAGCTTGGTCACTGAGCTGTTGGAAGGAGAAGGTATTCACGTGTAGTTGGGTAGTTGGGTAGCTGGGTAGAAGGAAGGACAGAGACAAGCCAAGACACTTGGAGAGCTGTGTTGCTGCTATGGTAGCTGCAGGTGAGTGAGGTGGACAGAGAAAGGCCTAGAGGGACTGCCCCTTGTTTCTCAAGTGTCAACATGGGAGAGGCTGAGGGTGTGGTTAAGTGTATGTCAGAGGTCTGGAAGAGCTGGACCCAGATCCTGGACTCGTCACGTTACCTAGGTGACCTTTTCTTTCGTTCTTTTTAAGATTCATTTATTTTTGCATACAGAACTGGTGTACAGGCCAGAGGTGCAGGGGTGGTGAGAGGATTCACCAGAGACAGAGTGGGGAGCAGAACAGGCAGATTAATGAAGTACACTCTTGAGGGGAGCAGCAGGGGTGTCAGGAGAGGTCTGCCACGCCATGTGGGTCATCTCCGGGGCCAGCTGAGGATTGAACTCACACTGAGGTGGTTGCAGCCAGCTTGCCTGCTAGCAATGCTGTGCCTTAGCCTGTGGCACCACCAAAGAGAGCCCTAGGTGACCTCTTAAGTCACCTCTGTGAACCTTTGTCATCCCAAAGTGATGAGAAATAGAAGTGATGCCTCTATAACTGACATACTGTGGAGACTCATCTATTGACATAACTATTTTATTGAGCACCTGCTATTTGCCAGCCACTGTTTTATTTAGAGTAAATACGATCAAGTCCCCACCCCTTCTGGGGCACTCAGACTTTAGGCACATTTGCCTTAAAGTTTCACTTAGTTTCACTTTAAGCACTAGACATATTAGTTGATTTACATTTAAATTAAAGTCAAGAAGAATTTAGTTAAACATTTAGCTCAAACATTCATTTGCCACATATCTTTTTTTTTTTTTAAGATTTATTTATTTATGCATACAGAACTGGAGTACAGGCCAGAGGTGTAGGGGTGGTTAGAGGCTTCACCCAGGGACAGAGTGGGCTGCAGAATAGGCAGCTCAATGAAGTACACTGCTGAGGGCAACAGCAGATGAGACAGGAGAGGTGGTGCTGCACCATGTGGGTCAGCTCCTGGCAGGATAGAACTCACTGAAGGGTTGCAGCTAGGATGCACTGAAGGGTTGCAGTCCGTTGCACCACCAGGAAGGGAGGGCCTCATTAGCCACATTTCAAATCCTCAGCCACCACTGATGGCAGCCATAGTGCAGATATAGACCATTTCTGTCGTTGCAGAACATTCTGCCGGCTGGCACTACTTCAGAAGTAAGAGGCAGTAAAGGCACAGTCTATAGGACAGCACCACACACATGGGTTGAGGGTAGTTGGCTCCCAGAATAAAGGGAAAAAAGGTGATAACAGGTGTACTGAGAGAGAATGGTTGGAGTGAATTTATGACTTATTTCTTGAGTGGTGGCTAGATGAATTTTTATCTTACATATTATATTTTCATATACAATATAATTTTTTTTGTATATCTGAAATATTTTGCAACTGGGAATAAGTTTAGCACAGGTCCTGGCTCTTTCCCCTCACTCCCCAAGGCATACTTCCCTGTTTTAGAGTGAACATAGGAACAAGAAGAAGGAGTTTAAGACTTCCTGAAATAGGGGGAGTGCTGGAGCATGAGAGCGTGTGCTGGAATCTGAAGGAGGAAGGGGAAGCTGCTGCGTTGCTCCTATCCTTCATTCCTTTGAAGAAGGCACTTCCGCCTAGGAAATCCCCCCTCCCTTATAGCGGGACCCCTGGTACTAATTGGCATTGTGCTAATTGGCCTCATTGTCAGCACTAAGTGCCTTTTTCCCTAGGGCACCATTACCTCATTAACTACGGAGTGGGGTGGAGAGAGTATGTTCCCAGCCGGGTCAGGGGCTTCTGCTTAGATGCCTTCTACGTCACACTATGTGTGTGTGTGAAGACCTATCTGCCAACCTCTCATTAATCCTGGAGTGTCCTGAATGGAGGCTGCCACAGTGCAGGGGAGAAAGCAGTGAGAAGAGTTGGCTGTAGACTCTGGAGATGGAAAATGAGTTTAGCCTCCCAAGGTGAGTGGGAAATCCTGGGGACAACTGGTTGCCAAAGGTGTTCATTCATTCCCCGCAGCTCCTATGATTTATCTTATTTAAATATTTTAAATTTGGTGGGATGCAATATCCAAGGCTGCACCTGTCATGTTGTCTGTCTTTACGTTTTTATTATGGACAACTTTATATAAAAGCAGAGAGTAGGGTGGTGAACCCTCATCCATAGCCCAGCTTTATCAATTATCAGCATGATCTACTCCCCACCTCCTGAGATTACACTGCTTCTTGAGACTCAGGGTGGTATTATCCTATCTCTGTGATCCTAATTTGTTCATTCATTGATCAATATCTCTTTACTGAACACACTATGATTCAGGCATTAGTTACATTTTTGAAGACTAACATATGCCAAGTGCTTTACATACCTAATTTTATTTTATCCTAACCTCTGTTATTATCCTAATTTGCAGACGATAGAATTGAGCCTCACTCAGAGAAGTTAATGACTTGCCCAAAGCATTACCTTGAAATTCATTGTTTTATTCCTACTCGCCCATGGTCTTAACATTGAGTTATTATATATCAGAGTACTTACCCAGACAATGGAAGCCTTCATTTTCTTATATGTTATTGAACCTCCAGTGGGTGCCAGGCCCTATATTGAATAAGATTGACATTCCTATCATTAAGGATCTTCAACAGACATTTACAATTCAGAGTGTTAAGTGTTACTGTGGGTGTAGGCCAGGCAACTGAAACAGAAAAGTCAAACTCAGTCACAGTGGGTCCAAAAAGGCTTGACAGGAGTTGATTTAAACATATAGGACAAAGCAGAAGGCAGTGAGTGGGCATTGTCTGAATGTTCCAGGTAGAAGAAACAGCAAGTGCAAAGGCTGGAGGAGAGTATGTTTAGTTCTGGGAACTGTGAGTAGAGTATTTCAGTATGGCTAGAACATATGAGGTTGAATGTGGAATACTGAAAAATAAGGCAGGAGAAGCAGGCAGAATCTTGAAGAGTCTTTGAAACCACATTTAGACTCTACTGAGAAGACAATGGGGAGCCAATGAAGATTATTAAATAGGAGAATGACATTAGATTTGAGTTTTAGGAGAATCACTCTGGGTATGGAGAACTGTCTTACAGGAGTCAGGCAGAGAAGCAAAGTAGGAGGCTAATAAAGATGGAGGTGAGTGGGGATAGTGGCTTCTACAAAGACAATAGCAAGGTAAAATGGAGGAAGAATGGAAGCAGGATTGCATGTGCATTTAAATATGAAGGGTCCAGAAAGTAGGGCATTAGCTCTTTTCCAAGGAGTTTTCACACACTCTCCTAAATGATTGCTTATATTAAGGTCTGTGGGGGGTGGGGGGGTGGGAAGGGGGGGCTTTTAGAAGTTGTGTTGTAGCTAGAAGTGACCTTGGGGATCACACAGGCCAGAAAAGAAAAGCAACTTGTTCAAGGTCACACAGCAAGTCAGCAGCAATCATCTAACCTCCAGCGAAGCTAATGGCTGGAGGTGCTGTGCCAACATGTCTAAGGTGACCTAAGCAAGATTTGGAGGGCCTGCCTCTTCCCCTCCACCTCTCCCTGCCCCACGCACAGCAATTAGTCGATGAAAAATGGTTGAAACAGTTCCTTTGTGCAGCACATTTTGTTAAGAGAGGTACAGATACAAGTCTGCAGCAGGAGAGCTGTGATCCCCTCCTCAAAAACACCCACAACAGATGGGGCTAACGGGTATTCCTATGGCAGTCAGACCTTTCCATCCACCTCCTAATTCCCTTCTGGTTTCTCCAGCCAAGTTCTCACCGAGAGGCCCCACCCTCAGCGGCTCCACTGTTGCCATAGCAATTAGGTGGGTGGACAGCCCATCCTATCTAGAGGCCACCCAGCCCTCGCGTGGGGAGTTACCATAACAACCCCCCTAGTAATAGAGGGGGTTGGGTCCGCCCCCATTCCCCCGCAAAAAGGGAGGTGGGTGACTTGATTGGCAGCTGGGCACACGAAAGAGGAGGGAAAAGGAAGGATAGGTGTCTAAGGAGAACTAAGAAGGAAACTGGGGAGAGAAAGGACAGAAAATTAAGGAAAAGGGAAGGAAACGTTTGTGCGCACGCGCGCCAGCTGGTGGGCGCGCTCCGAGGCCACCTCGGCCGCCGCCCACTCTTTCACGCCAGGCTTGCGCGGTCGCTGAGTCCTCGCGCGCGTCTTTCGCTCGCTCGCCTGCGCCTGCGCGCAGGTGTCGGCGCCGAGGGGGAGGGGGAAGTCGGCGCGCCCGCGTCACGTTTCCTCTCCCACCCTCCGGGTGCTCAGCCACTCCGCGCCTGCGCAGCAGAGTCGGCGGCTCGGGTTGCAGGCTCCGGGGTGATAGCTTCTGTCAGCCGGTGGGTCGGTCCTCCCGCCGGCCCTCCCCCTCCCCGTTCTCCGGGGGAGGCGCGGTGGAGTCCGCCTCCGAGATCCCCCGATGGGGGAGAAGCGGCGACGGCGGCAGTGGAATAACCAAGCCGGAGCGTGAGCGGCCCCGGGGCCCCGTTCCCCGCGGAGGCCATGGGCGACCCAGCCCCCGCCCGCAGCCTGGACGACATCGACCTGTCCGCCCTGCGGGTGAGCGTGCCGCCCCCCCAGCCTCACCCTGGTTCCGGTCCTCGCCATGCGGGAGCGGGGTGATCGCACGCCTCACGTGCTCCCCGGCGCCCCTCCGCCAGCCCCGTGCCCCTCGGCGACCCCCACC